AATTCAGGTGGCAGGTGTAGGGGCCAGGCTGTCCGAATTTAGCCTAGACCACAGCATAAAAGGAAACGTTCAATATTTTGCCCCTGATTTGTGCATCTAATATATTTTTGTGATCTATCACCATACGTACAGAATGATTCCGTTTTTCCCTACGTTTATTTCATTATTTCCCTACATAGGCAAGAGCCTTTAAGGTTCTATTCCTTGCATATAAAACAAGTAATGGTTTCTGTCACTTCTGGCTGAATAAATTAGAAACTTACACATAATTCTTGGCAATAGGGATACAGTATGCTTAAAGGCTGATGGAAACAGACAGGTCTTTAAGCATATGTTTTATAAACATTATTAAATCACTTATCTGATAAGTTAATCCAGTAAAATAAACCACATTTTTCTTAAGTGTATTTTAGAATATGAAGAGGACAAAAATGTATACACATACTAAATTATTCAATAACCTCTTTCTTTCTTCTTTCTTTCTTTCTTTCTTTCTTTCTTTCTTTCTTTCTTTCTCTTATGCTATTGGTTAAGAAACCGTTCAGCTGTTTTGAAATATACGTTTGCCTGAAAATGTACATCAAAACTGGCTGTTTAAAGATTTTCTTCACATTTATTTTTATGTTAATTTTTCTCTGTATTTTCTGGCCTTGACTTTGTTTCTTACTACTCTTCGATGATAGGAACATGAAACTAAACCAGATATAACTGGAGCCAGCTAAGTATTTTCCCTAAAGATTCATGTATCCACAAAGAAGCTAAGATTCTAATTGAAAATGGACATGTCTCTGGATTAGGAAGTTGATATACACATACAGCTGTCTGGGTGTAAGTTTAACCTTTGGGTCGATTTTAAAGGAGGTGAAATTTATCCCTATCATTGTGTTGTTTTTTTTTTTTTATCACCAGGTGGCAATGAATGTAAAAGACATCAAATATCCTGCCTATGTATTAGCTAACCAACAATATCACCCTTCATATGGTAAGACCTTTTGTCACTTCAAATGCACAAGTCTGTAGGACAGTGGCACCGAACCATTTCTTTCCTGTGTCCTGCAAATCAAGTATGTTGGCAGGTGTGATCAGCACTTACAGGTCTCTGTGCCTCTGCTTGAGTGCAATACGCTGGGGTGCTTTGTGCATGGAAAGAACAAGTAGGGCGGAGGAAAACAGAGTATGGGTGTAACCTTGAACAGCCTGGATTGGAACCCCACCTGCACTTGGCGCATATTTAAGCTCTCAGCGTCTCTCATCTATAACATGGAGAGAATGACACCTAACTGTCAATGGGTTGTGAGGATTAGTGGGCGCCTTGTCTGCCTGGAGTGTGGTACATAATGGGTAAATGACAAAGGGTAGCTGTCATCATCACTGTGGTTATTAATTCACAAATATTATTGGCTCAGGTGCTAGGTTCTGGTGATAAAAAGATGAATAAGACAGGGGCACCTGGGTGGCTCAGTCAGTTAAACATCCGACTTCGGATGAAGTAAACATTTTTAAAAAGATGAATAAGAATCATTGTAATCTAGAAGCTTCTAATCAAATTGGAGAACAGAAACAGATCATTTTAATGCAATGTGGTACGTAATCTAATAAAGGGCACACCCCTGAGGAATGTGAGTCAGAAGACATTAACCAGTTGAAGAGGAGATGCCAATGACCATGGCTGGTGCCAGCATCTGAGGGAGAGAAGACCTGAGCTAGGACTGACTAACCAACATCATCACAGTGAACACAAAGGGCCAAAAGCTCAAAGAAGAGGTGAAGCGTAAGACCGCCAGTGGGGAGCACCATACCCATCCTGGAAGGAAAGGTATTCGGGGATCAGTTTCCTTAGGGGAGTGACTCCTTCCACAGTACTAGTCAAAAGGCTCCACAAGGAAGGCGGGGACTGAGCTAAGTGTTGAAGTGTGGATTTCACGTCAAAAGACAGGGGAGGGAAATCGTGCCACTTACAGGGGATTGGGGCAGTGGGCAAATTTGCAAGGACAGGGTCAGGACAAACAGGTTGATCAGAAAGATAAGTGAGCACAGGAATTTGAAGAACATTGAATGGGTAACAAACAGGAGTGGAAGCCACTGGGGATGGGATCCCAGCTGCAGAGCTCTGTGTAGGGCAGTGGCGCACATGCAAGGTGTTAATGCCAGAGACAGGATCGTGACAGAGGCGTGGAAAGGAGGGGACAGAACAGGAGATGGTTGGGGAAAAAAAAAAAAATCAAGAGACCTGAGTATCTGACTAGATGTGGAGGTTTGGGGTGGGAGTAGGAGGCAGAGGGGAGTCTAAGATTTTTCACTGGGTAATAATAATAATTATTATTTTTATTTTTTTAATGTTTATTTTTGAGAGAGAGAGAGAGAGAATGGGGAAGGAGCAGAGAGAGAGAGAGGGAGACACAGAATCCAAAGCAGGCTCCAGGCTCTGAACTGTCAGCACAGAGTCTGACGTGGGGCTCGAACTCACAAACTGTGAGATCATGACCTGAGCCAAAGTTGGACGCTCAACCAACTGAGCCACCCTATTCATTTGCTTATTATCTATCCATTCATTAGTTCATTCACTCATTGTGTCCTTATTGGGATCCCTGCTCAGGGCTGGACGACATGATGCTATTGATACAAGGGGACAGGACACACTTCTGCCCCCAAGAAGCTCACTGCTGGAAACCCCAACTTTTACCTGTAAACATCTCAGCTTTCATCCACCTTCTCCCCTCAGTGCTGCCTCAGTTTCTTTTTCTGTAGCCAACAGCCGCCAATGCAAGATGTAGAATCAAAATGTTTCAGGTTTGTTTCCCATGGAAGGGAGTAGGGGGTTATACTTTCTAAATATTCTAGGACATTTCTTTCTTTTAAATTTAAAACAGATAGAAAGGACATTTGCCAGGGTTGGGGGGGGGGAAGCTAGTTTTCCAGACAGTGATCATATTTGAGATGGACTTCCAAATGAGTGGAACCCAAAGGTATTATCTTCCTGGAAGTTATCTGCTGAAGATACACTGTCTTTGGGCTGAATCCAAAGCTCCCCCCGACTGCCATTAGGCAGGTGCGGTCCTGATCTTCAGTGGGCTTTGGGAGAACCTGCTTGGGAACCTAGCCCCACGGGGTGGACGTGTCTGTGAAAGACGTTCTGGTTCAGAACACTAGCTTTGTGCCTGTGCTTGTTTTTGCACACGAATCTTCTCTTCATGCATCTGGTCAATAGTTTATTCCCAAGAATGTGAAGTCATTGTTGGCCAGAGAACTCCAGCCCCTGGAATTTGGTCTTTAACTCCTGCGTGAGTGTCTGTTGTCTGGATTCCTTGTGTCCTCGGTGCCCCCAGGGTTCGTCTCCAAGCAGGCAGGTGCCGGGAGACAGGACCATGGGTAGACCAGACGACACGAGGAGGGACTGGCAGAGTTCTCTGCTGTGGTGTCGTGATTCATAAATACGATCTTCGTATGTTTCATGTGTTGCGAGGGGGCACCCGCAATGGTGTTCTTTCCTGCCTCTTTCAAGCACTATCTTCCCCTCTTCTCACCATTAGTCAGTCTTTGCTACCTGGGAAGGGGCTGTGTACTTTTCACTGAGCGGTCAGGATTATTTCTTGAGGGCTTTCAGAAGACCCCAGGCCCTTTGTGGCAGTTGCCAGGGACAGAGCTTTCAAACTTCAGGAGACACACGTTGTACCCCAGGGGGAATTTTGCCCCCTTGTAGTGCACCTGCCCAGGACATGGGGCGATTAGCGTCCCCTGCTGTCCTGTGATCAGAGGCGGGAGAGACCTCTCTCTGCTTAGCCTCTACTTGTTTACATGCAGGAAGAGTGGAGGAGTGTCTCTCCAACCCATTGGATGTCCCTTGGGTGCCGGGACTGGGGCTTTAACTCCCTTTCCAGCAACCCCTCACATGACAGCACTCTGCACGTGAAAGACACATGCTGTGGGTTGAACCATAGAAGCCTAATGAGTCTGTGTGAGAGCTGGGGTGAGAAAAGCAGCTTAGGTCATGCTCCGGTTATCTAGCGCTGCGTAACAAAGCGCCCCATGGCCTCGTGCCAGAGAACAAGAAGCATTTTATTATGCTTATGGTTCTTTATGGCTGAGATTTAAAGGTGGCACATTAAGGAGACTTATCTCTGCTCCACAGTGTCTGAGCCTCAGCTGGGAAGACCAGCATGTCTGAGGGGACCCAAGTAACTGCACTGGGGGTCATTTGGAGGCTTCTCCACACACATGTCTGGAGTCTGAGCTGGGGCTGGGGTGCCACGAAGACTGGGCTTAGTGGGGTCCTCACCAGAGCTTCTCCAAGCACAGTGGTTCCAGGTGACCAGACCTATGACTTGGAATCAGGGCTCAAAGAGTGTGTGTTCTGGTAAATGAGACCTTCTACACCGAGCCTTGGAGGCCCTTCCACCCCTTCCACCACCTTCCATCAGTCAGCGTGGCCACAGAGCTGCCACAAGCCCCAGGAAGAGAGGCCTTACCTTCTGGGGGAAGAACATCAAAGCATTTGAGGCCACAAGTCCCACCTAAATGGAGAATCTCCCTCAGTATGGAAGACAAGGCAGGTGCACAGGTGGGAAAAAAATGAGAAAGTTTCGTGCCCAGAGAAGGCAAATGGAGATTTTTCTTTTACTTTAAAAAAAAATTTTTTTTTAATGTTTATTTTTGAGAGAGAGAGAGAGAGAGACAGAGTGCAAGCAGGGGAGGGGCAGAGAGAGAGGGGGACACAGAATCCCAAGCAGGTGCCAGGCTCTGAGCTGTGAGCACAGAGCCCGACATGGGCCCCAAGCTCACAAACTGCGAGATCATGACCTGAGCGGAAGTCAGGTGCTTAACTGACTGAGCCACCCAGGCACCCCTGGAGATAAAAAAAAAAAAAAAAAAAAAAAAGATTAACCTCCGGGGCACCAACCATGAGTTCTGAGCTTCTCTGTTTCTTCCACTCCCGGGGAGAGAAGCGGGGGTGGGGGTGGGGGGGTGGCTCCAGGTGAGTCAGGCGACAGAGCCACCTCTGGGGCTTCCCCCGGGGTCTGGGTACAGGTGCTTACCTTGACCTCTGAGCACAAGCTCAGACCTCCAAGCACATCAACCTGACAACTGTAAGCATTTTCATTCAAGACTTCCTACGGAAGTCTGGTCCCTAGAGGTCAACATTTCCCATGAGTACTCCGATTCAGGGACACGATCCTCTTAGGGCCTCTCCCGGGGGCGGGGTTGAAAAGCAGACTCCATGCACTACCCCAGTCAGCCGGCTTTAGTTCCGAGGCCCCTCCCCCGTCCCTGAGGCTTGGCCTTGGCTGGAGAAGGGCGTCTGTGCTCAAAGTCCCACACCTGACCTATGGCCCTGGAGGAAGCTTATGTGTTTGACCTTGTATCTGAAGCACCATGGAGCTTTGCAGTTTCTACTCTGCATGCCTGTGGAGTGCATCATCGGCTGACTTCACCTCCGTGAACACCACTTCACACGCATTAGAGACGAATTTTATCATCTGTGCGGGATCAGGGCTGCTAAAGAACTAAAGAAGAAAACACTGAAGCTATTTTGGGTAGCATCTTTTGGTTTGGTTTGATTTGGGTTTTTTGACTCAAATAATTTTTTAGCTCCCTAAGGTTTACCAGCTTCGTTTGGCTGTCTGGTCGGAGGCGTTTGCCATTGGAAAAGCATTTTTACTGTTAGAAGGTTGGGTCCAGGAATGTCCTCGATGAGAGCAGCATGACTTAGGATGGAGTCTTTACTGATTACTCACCCTCGCAACTCAAATCTCTCAGGAGAGGCATCTGACTTGGGGCTGGAAAATATCCTAGGAAGACGATTCTGGGCTGTGCTCAAGCTGCTTTCAGGACTCAGGAGGCCCTTATCAGCTTCTGGAGCTTTAAATAAAGGCCCACTGGGCTTGAGGCTTGAAGTGTCATGAAGAAAGGCCTTCCACTGTTATCCTAAAGAGAGTTCATTTATATCTTCAGGGAGATCCAAGCTGAAAGAGGGGCGGGTGATGAAAGTTTGAAGGTGAGTGGGGCGAAGGGAGGTAAGGGGAGGCGGAGTAGGGGCTGGGAGGAGACCCCGCGGATGAAGGGCGCCCGGATGGGAAGGGCATCTTCTGGGAAAGGCCATCAGCATCAGATAAGATCTTCAAACCCCAGGGTCGATGAGATCCCCATCTTTGCTCCTCAAGCCTGGTTTCCACAGAGCTGGAGGTGCAAATTATTTACTGATTGTATTTTTGGCTGCGGCACACAGCCCTGCAGGCACCTTTACAAGCCACAGGCAACGAAGGCCTGGCCCTCAGGGTATGATTTACCACCTACAAAAAACCCCCAAGAGCACAGTGTGTTCATGCACACACAAGAAAGCAGCAGGTTCCAAAAGTTAAAAGGAACTAGAAACTACTGGTTCACTAAATGGTGAACTTCTAGATGCTTTTCAGTGCCCGCAGAGAAATTGATATTTCTATCCTGAGCTGGGCTATGAGTTCCCCAAGGGCAACACCTCTGTATTTCTGCATTGCTGGGACGGCCCTGAGCTATGCCACACCCGGATGGCACAAGTTAGGGCCTCAGTAATGGTTGGGGGTGTGAGTAGAGCCACCTTGGGGGTGGTGGAGGATTTGCCCTTGTAAAGCAGCAGGAAGGCTGAGGAAAGCACGGGGTTTTCATGGACATGGTTTGTCCTGGAGACCGAGGGCTTCAGGGGGACCAGATGCTCTGATGGTCTTAGACTAGGGGTGGAAGATGGGGAAGCGCCCCGCCTGCCAAGGTGTGAGCCACGGCCATCGGCGCTGTCCTCACCTCAGCGGCTACATTTAGGTTCCTCAGAGTGAGGGCCCCGGGGAGCTTCGCAGTCTCTGGACGGGCTCCCACCACCTGCCGCTCCCAAGGCGGCCTGGATTCCTCCTGAGTTTCTTTGTGTTTGGGTTTTGGCGTCTGCCGTTGACAAACGTGGAGCGCCCTAAGCTCTCCTGCTGCGGCTGCTCGTCTCTCTTTCTGGATGTTTCCAACTTGAAAGCTGGAGGGGATTTTTCTTTTAATCACCTCACATTAAAAAAAATATGACTTTAATAACTTCCCAGTTTAACATTTTATTTTCTAAGGCCTCTGAGTACCCCAGTCTGACAGAATGCCTAGAAAAATAAGGTACTTAATAGACCTCGGTTAATTGGCAGCCCCTGAGCTTAATGCTTTCAGACATTCTCATTGTTCTCCAGAGGGGACAGGACATTACTCAGTTCCTCAGAGGACGAGGCCTTCTCCTCTCAGGAGACAACAATTCTGGAAAGGCAGGGGCCTGGTCTGATTTGCTTGTACCTTCTTGTCGTCTAGCTGAGCACCAGGCTCACTGAGGACACCAAGCTTGTTAAATAACAAGGTGCCACCGTCAGCCCTGTGCCACTGGCTTGGGTAGAGGCTGTCTCTGGAGGAGATTCGGATGACATCAGGAGGGCATTGGCAGCCATAAAGACCCTGGGGTGCTTGGCATGGTACAAAGTACACAGGCTTGGGGTTCTGTGGAAGGTTGTTTCCATGGTGGCCATCAAAATCCTGGCCAGTCCTTAGGCCTTGTTGACATGTGACTTTGTCTCTCCTCTCCTCCAAAGGTGGAGTCCAAGGCCCCTCCCCTGGGGTCTGGGATGGCCCCTCGTTCTGCTCTGACCAACAGAAGTTGAAGAAGCGATGTGTTTTCACATTCAAAGCTCGTGAGGCTTTAGTCTACCTTTGGTTTCCATTTTTGCTCTCTTGGAGCCCTGAGGTGCCACAGAAAGTCCCCCTATCCTGTTGGAGAAACCACATGAGGCAGAGAGATCCTGGAGAATGAGAGTCCATGAGAGAAGAGAGACCATTGAGAATGAAGGTCCTCGAGCAGAGAGGGCCAGGCTGAGGGCAGACCTATGAGTGAGGCCATCTTGGATCTCACTCATCACCAACCTGAAGCCACCTGAAGAAGCCATGCAGTGCCCTGGGGGATAGGGACAAGCATTCCAGCCGAGCCCCGCCTGTCTAGCCCAGGGACTGTGGGCAAACAGAACGGTTTTTGTTTTAAGCCACGAAGTTTGGGGCTAGGTTGTCATGCAACAATAGATAACATATAAACTGACCTAAATTCTAATTTCAGTTCTGCACTTTCTAACTGTGTGACTGTGGGCATATGGTTTTCAGCCCTTCCCCTCATATACAAAATGAAAATAATAATGCCTGCCCGGTAAAACAGCTGGCACATGTGCTCTGGAGCACCTTGCCACCAACACTGCCTCATCTGGACTTGCCCACAAGCCAGGTACAGGGTTGGTCCTGGGTGGCCACGAATGCACCACGACGTGTTGTTGCCATCCTCTTCCATCCCACAGGCTCCAGTGAGGCTGTTCCTTTTCTCTCTGCAGATGAGGAACCCAGAAACCCCGGAAGCTGGAGTTTGCAGTGAACAGAAGGTCAAGGCCAGGGTCAGAGTGCAAGGCGCCAGTCACGTTTGAGCTGAAGCTAAGAAGGGGTTTGAGCTCCTGGCAGGCAGCCGAGGCTCGGCCACAGAGCAGGTGTGCAGAACCGGCCCTCCCATTCCCCTCGGCGGGCTCAGTCTCCTGTCTTCAGAGCCCCGAGTCCCCTGTGACCGCTCTCCTCGGGCTTGCGTGCTGCGTGGGCGTCTGTTGCCTCCCACCGAGCCAGCCCTGACCGCGTGTGTAAATGTATATAAACTCCAGACACACAGAGGGTGTTCAGCACATGGTCATGATGTATTAATAATGTTCGAATCTTTAAGGTAGAATCGCGGTTCTCTTTTTTTTAAGTCCTGGACGGAGGGAACATCCATCTACTTTTCTATCAAAATCTCTGTGCCGCCTTTTCTTTCTTTTTTTTTTTTTTAATGTTTATTTACTTTGAAGAGAGAGAGAGAGAGACAGAGTGCAAATGGAGGAGGGGCAGACAGAGAGAGGGAGACACAGAATCTGAACCTCCAGGTTCTGGCTGTCAGCACAGAGCCCAATGTGGGGCTCGAACTCACTGACCATGAGATCGTGACCTGAGCTGAAGTAGGGCGCTTAACCGACTGAGCCGCCCAGGCGCCCCGTATGCTGCCTTTTCATGAGGTGTGATCCGCATTAACCCGGTGCTCTGAGTCCCAGGGCTGACAGTAAGCTCTTTCTAAACTTCACGTGGAGGCACGAGGGGTTTCTCTCTTGAGGCTGCAGCCCAGGGGAGCGAGGGGTGGGCGGGAGGGGTGTTGTGGCTGCCCCTGCTATGTAATAAATCCCCTGCCCCCCGGGGCTCCGCGCTGAGGAAGGGGGAGCGAGGTCCGTGTGTAAGTAGCTCTGGTTCCTGGTGCTTCCTGTGAATAGATCACCCAGAATAGGATTTTCCAGATTTGCAGGCTCAGATGAGATGCTTAATAGGTTGGCTGCAGAGCAAGAATTCTCAACCTCTGGAAAATAAGGAATCATAATCCTTGGATAATATTTTCCTAAGAGCAATAAATTGTGCATCCTCATTTGTGTGAAACCCTTAGCAGCGTGGCCTCGGGCAAATCCCTGAACCTCTGAGCCTCGGCCTTCTTACCTGTGAAATCAGGGGGCAGTTTTCCCCGGCTCGCGGAGTCGCTAGAGAATTAAGATCAAGGACACACCTAAAGCACTTGGCAGGTGGCTCACCACTGGCTGCTTCCATTTCTTCTGGGAGCACTGGGGTGGCCTGGCCTCTCTTCTTCCTGCTTGTTCCGTTTTCTGGACCCAACATTCCTGGATATCTTTTCCCTCCTTCAAAATTCAAGTCTGCTTTCATGTTCATCCATGGCCACTGGGTTCAGTGACCTGCCTTCCAGGCAGTGCCCCCTGAAGACTGTTTTCCCCTGCTGCCCGCCCTGGGGGGACTTGGACAGCCCCTCACATTTGGTGCATCTTGGCTTTGAAGTAGAGACCCAGACACCCCTCAGCAGGCACCTTCCTTTGGCTTCTCTCTGGGGGAGAAGATTAGCTTTGCAGAGTCATTAATTTCTTGCCAAAATCTTCTTTTTATGTGTTTCTGGCCAGGGTTAAGGGGAAAAAGGGGGGAATGCTCTGGAAAGGAACTCTTGTGTTCTGTATGAACATGAGCTCATTAGTTCTGTCCTTAATTCAAGTGAGATTTTCAGTAAAGACGTTAGATGAGACATCGAGGCTGGGTGAATCCTATCTCCCAGGCCCTCACCCCTTTCCCAGACCCTGTAGCCCATCTGCCTATTGGCTCCACACCAGGTTCTGAACGTGTTTATGCTCTTTACTTTTCCCCCTGTATCATAAGGTGTTCTCAAGAAAGGCATTTGGGAATCCATTTCTACTCAACTATAAACTGTCATTACTGATGTTCCAATCATGGGTATTACAATAGGGGAATGAATCTTGAAGTCAGAAGAATAAATCTCTAAGTGTAGAATGTTGATCATCAGTGGCAAATTGATGTTGTTGGACTCAAGAGGGGGTGGGGTGAGGGTGACAGGTCTCACCACTAGAGCCTCTTCTCTTATCACACACACTGACCACTGGCTCTACCTTCTGGGGAAGCCTGCTCAACTCACCAGCAAACGCTGAGAGCCTGCACTGTGTTCAATGAGCTGAAATATGGTGGGGGGGGGGGTGGTGAAGTGTGTGACCTTGCCGTGTTCCCTTAACCATGTTCCCACCTCTGGGAGCCCCCGTTCCTACCATGCGGTGCTTTCCATTGTCAGGTGCACAGGATGCTGTCCCACATGCCTGCTTCTCCTTTCATCTCCTCTCCCCCATGTGTCTGTCTCCACTACGAGCCGGAAACCTCTGCAGGGGGCTATGTCAGGGGCGGGGCTGAGGCAGAACCTGTACCTGTCGGGTCCCGTGAGCCTGGCTGGGAAGGGCCTGTGTGTCTCTGTGAATGCCACCCAGCCCCAGTGATCTCTAGTGGGACTTGTGATGTAGGGTTGGCTGTTGGCAAGTTGAGGAGACTTATTGCAAATGAGCAGAATCATTAAGGTGTCAGTATCCCGTCTGCGACAGAGGTCAGCAAATGAGCGTTCCCTGTCTTTGCCGGTGATTTTTACAGGTTGACCAGTCGTACATTTTTTTCATGTCGATTTAAAGCATGGTTCTGGGTGGGGATGATTCCATTAATGTTCCTGACTCTTTCACACCTGGATTTGAAAAAAGAAGTTAGAAGAAGACTTAATATCTGGAAAACATTCTGATGGTTCCATAAACCGTCAGAGCGGTTTTGCTCGTGGATGGGGAGTAGGGTGAGCAGACTTCTTGGGGTCCACTTCATACTCCTTGGCTTCCGCTAGGAGGCAAAACTGGGATTACGTGGCAGTAATTTGGCAAAACACACCCTGTCGTTCTCACTTTCATGTTTAAAACGTGGCTTCTCGGTTGTGTAGTGACTAAGGCCTGGTTTGGGGGAGTTTCGTAAATTGTTGGGCTACCTGGGGTAGGAACCCATTCATCACTGAAAACATGGAGGATATCATAGCTATTGGTTTGGGAGAGAACTTTGATAACATTTAACTTACAGTGTTTTCTGCCTTTGCTAAATGTTTGTTAAACAATACGAGCCCTGCGACACCTGAGGGGCTCAGTCAGTTAAGGGTTGTGCTCTTGGTTTTGGCTCAAATCGTGATCTCATGGTTCGTGAATTCAAGCCCCACATTTGGCTCTGTGCTGGTAGTGCGGAGCCTGCTTGGGATTCTCTGTCTTTGTCTCTGCCCCTCCCCTACTCTCTCTCTCAAAATAAATGAATAAACTTAAAAAAAAAGGAAGACTATTGAGCCCTGCTATCTCAGAGGAAGCAATAGTTTACAAAAGGGAGAATAATCTTGAAAAATTGCACATGTAATTATAGTTCAGGATCTGAAATTTCCTGATCAAAACAAATCTGTATAATAGTTTAAAAATTAGATGCATCTCCAGCTGTACCTAGTGTTCCATTGGTTCTCTCTCTCTTTTTTTGTTGTTTGTTTGTTTATTATTTATTATTATTATTTATTTTGAAAGGAGAGCATGAGCAGGGGAGGGGCAGAGAGAGAAGGAGAGAGAGAGAGAGAGAGAGAGAGAGAGAGAGAATCCCAAGCAGGTTCTGCAGTGTAAGCACGTAGCCTGACATGGGGTTTGATCTCACAAACAATGAGATCATGACCTGAGCTGAAGTCATGAGTCAGATGCTTAACTGACTGAGCCCCCCAGGCGCCCCCCAGTGGCTCTCTCTTTTAAAAAACAAAATTTTTAAAAAATATTTATTTATTTCTGAGAGAGACAGAGACAGACCGTGAGCGGGGAAGGGGCAGAGAGAAAGGGAGACGGAATCCAGAACAGGCTCCAGGCTGTGAGCTGTCAGCACAGAGCCTGACGCGGGGCTCAAACTCATGAACCGTGAGATCATGACCTCAGCCGAAGTCAGACGCTTAACCCACTGAGCCCCCCAGGCGCCCCCCAGTGGCTCTCTTAATGCAGATTCAGGACATCTGCCAAGTCCCCCAAATGAGGCAGGGGGCAGGTCTCCAGGGAGTTCAGGAACACGTCCACCCAGTGCCGCTCGGCCTCACCATTTTCTCCCTCTTTCCATCTACCTGTTCACCAGTCCACCTGGCTCTTTGCATTTCGAAGTCAGCGGCAAACACCAGCGCCCTTTCTCCCTCTGCACACCATCAGCTGGAGTTCAATGTCTGTTTACGACTGTCTGTAAGCTGTCAGGCTCGCTGCCCTGGGTGCTGATGTTGTATGGAGTTTTAAGAGAAGGCAGCTCATTTTGGTTTTACCATAGCCTCTCTCCTCAGGACTCAGATGTAAGTCCATGGGACGTTGGGCCAGAGACAAAGCAAAGGGAAAGAATCACCTTTTATCTTCAGCAGCCAAGATATGGCTACTGGACAGGCTTGTCTTCTGTCTCTTCCTCCTGGAAGGAGGAGTCCTTTCTCCTGAGGCTCCCTGAGCTCCCAGGAAACTAGACCCTGGCAGCTCCTTCCCCACCTGTCTTTAGGCCTGAGGATTCCCAGAAGTGAGGATTGCTCAAAGCAGCAGCAGAAAATTTAGTGGGGGTTGGAGTAAGAACTGGCCTGTCACTTAGACGGAAGCCGCATTCGTCACAATGACAACCAGACCTAAGATGCACGGAACGCTCACCACGTGCCAAACCCTGGACCCAGGGCCTGCAGCGTGTATCTGCGTAACCACCACCATGTGCTAGCACATTCTGTTATTGTCTCCTTTGCACAGACAGGGCGAGTTGATGACTGTGAGCGTAACGGCTGTGATACAGATACATACAAGCTGGCTAGGGGAAAGATCAGGAAAGATTTTGCTGGCGGAGATTATCCATGAGAAAGGGTATTTTAACATGTAGGTTTTATTGTTATCTGGGAATGGTCAGGCCACAGATAAGGAGACGATTGTCACCAACAAGATAGTTCATTATGCTCATAGTCCCCAAGAGGCTTGCTGTGCTACTGAGGGCCACACAGGGAAACACCGGGGGGCGGCCGGGAGGCAGAGTGGGTGAAGGAATCACAGACAGGAGACTTTATTGCAGTTTCTGTGGGAACGAATGGGTGAGGTAGGGCAAGCAGGCTTAGGATTGGCCAGTTTAAGTAATTCCAGTGGGAAAGAAAGGGGAACACTTTTGCACTGCTGGTGGGAATGCAAACTAGTGCAGCCACTCTGGAAAACGGTATGGAGGTTCCTCCAAAAACAAAAAATAGAGCTACCCTATGACCTAGCAATTGCACTAGTAGGTATTTATCCAAAGGATACAAAAATGCTGATTCAAAGGGGCACATGTGCCCCAATGTTTATAGCAGTGCTATCAACAATAGCCAAATTACGGAAAGAGCCGATGTCCATCGACTGATGAATGGATAAAGAAGATGTGGTATATATATGTATGTGTATACACACACACACACACACACACACACACACACACATACACATACACACACACACAATGGGATACAACTTGGCGATCAAAAAGAATGAAATCTTGCCATTTGCAAGAACATGGATGGAAGTAGACTGTATTATGCTAAGTGAAATAAGTCAGAGAAAGACAAATATCATATGATTTCACTCATATGTGGAATTTAAGAAAGTAAACAGATGAATTGAAGGGAAAGAAAAATAAAAACAGAGAGGGAGGCAAACCATAAGAGACTCTTAAATATAGAGAACAAACTGAGGGTTGATGGGGGTGGGGAGTGGGGGGATGAGCTAAATGGGTGATGGGCACTGAGGCAGGCACTTGTTGGGCTGAGCACTGGGTATTGTATGTAAGTGATGAATCACTGGGTTCTACTCCTGAAACCAATACTGCATGGTGTGTTAACTGGCTTGAATTTAAAAAAAAAAAAAGTTAATAAAAAGAAAAGTAAAATAAATAATTTCAGTAGGCTCTGGAGTGTCAGAGCTCTCCCTAGCTGTCTGGTACCTGGCCCTGGGGTGATTAGAACAGGGGTACAGTGGCCCTGGAGGTGAGACCTGCCAGAGGACATGAGGTGAGGGTAGGTTCTGGACTGGTTAGTTTGCATATGACAGGTGCATTCACAGGCTAGGTGCAGGAATAGACTGTTTCTAGGAATAGGCTGGGAGGAGCAGACTGCGGGGTTGGTACAGTGGGGATGGGGGTTGGGGTGGGGGGCACCTATCAGGTGAACGTGAGTGTCTTATCCCAGTGATGTCAACCTCGGCACCCGCGAGGGGACTCAGGGCGTCCCGTGTGAACTGTCAATCGGCATATTCCCAGCTATTTGGGGAATCCAGACTTGGAGGCCTTGAACAAACGCCAACCTCATGGGGCCCAAGTGAGACTGTGAAACTCCCTCGTGCATTCCCCACAGAGCGGCTCGGGCTCTACTCCAGCCTCTGCCCCACTCACTGCTGCTCTGGCAGAGGGGTGCCGTGTGATGGGAGAAGCTCGTGTGGTCCCCCGGGTTAGGGCCCCGCCCCACAGCCCTGCATCCCAGCAGCAAGCCACCTGCTGATCCCTCGCTTCTGACACCTTCCTGCTCTCTCCACTGAATGTCAAGGTTTAGGGACAGATGGGGCCAGTTCCTATGCCAGTGATTCCTTTCAACTTAGTGTGTGTGCATGTTTGGGCACGAGGTGGGGGGCGGATCTAGAGCCTAATCAGAAATTATGACTTTTTCTTTCCAGGGAGACACAGCAGAGCTGACGACGTGGCCAACAACACGAGGGGAGAGCGTGGCTGGGAGGCGGCCCTGAGCCCAAGCGCGGTTCCCATCAAGTCGCAGCCTCCCAAGCTGCGAGGGCCATGCTTACGGCTTGCCACTTGGGCCCCAAATGGTGTCTAGTTGCCTTTCTGTCACCTGACTTTGAGTCACTTTTCTGTTCTTTATCAGCCTTCTCCAGAGTACTGAATGGGCAGATAAAAGAGGGAATGTAAATTGCTCAATCGTGGTATTTTAATTGCGAGGTTTAGGGGAAATATCTAGGTTATTTATGAAGTTCGATCTTCTGTGTCGTTCACCCCCTCAGAATCGTGAAAGTTTTGCTGGGCTGGGTGATTACAGAACTGAAGAATGATGAGAGCAGAAAGATATCTGGAGCCCGGCGAACCCAGCTCCTGCATTTGAAAAAGATTTAGGGATCCTCTTGCCACGTTGCATGGCATCCGTCTGTTCCTTGCGCTAGACTGGGATCCACCTGATCACATGTGACGCCTGTTTCTTCGGAGCCTGGCACTGTGCCTGGCACGTGGAAGGTATTAAAAAAGTGTCCGTTGAATGAATGAGTGAATGACCGGCCAAACTCACACAGCTAATCTGCGGCAGAGCTCAAAGCAGAGGTCAGCTCAGTTCATTCCAGACACAACGTTCCATCCCTTACGCACATGGCCTCAGTGATATTTCATTTGATTAAACTTTGAAATTGCTCTGGGGTTAAGGTTTATGGGACCCTATCTCTTACCAGAGGAGCAGAGGTGGTCTTTACGGTCGGGTTTGTGAAACGCCATGAGCTACTCACACCTTCAGAACAGCTTTGCCCTAATGGAAAGACCTGGGTTTGAGGCTGGCCTGTGCCGTTTCCCAGTAGGTCGCCTTGGGGCAAATCACTTAATCTTGACGAGGCTCAATTTTGGGTCCTGTAAAATGGAAGAGTGGTTCTGACCGTGCCAATCTCACAAGGTCACCGTGAAGTCCAAGCACGGCCGTAAATACGACAGTCTTTTTTTTGTAAGCAGCCGCGCCTGGTCTGCAACGAAGGGTTAGAGTGGCCAGGTACAGGGAGGGGAGCCCAGGACGGAGCTGCCCCCAGCTGCCTCGAAAAAGCTCTTTGGTGTGCAGGTGATAGTTGTGTCGGGTGGTCACCCGGATGTATGTGTATGTGTATTACTTGGGGGAAGTGGAGGGACTGGGAACCCCCAGGTAGCTGGAGAGGTCAGAAAAGGTGAGAGAGAAGGGAAGCTTGCCGGGGTGAGGTTTCCCCGGGTCAATGGAGCACAGGGAGTGGGGGGAGGTGCAACGGGCAAAGCTCGCCCCTCTCATGATGTCGGAGAAGGGAGGGAGCAGGAGAGCCAGGGCCAGTCCTCAAGGCTCCTATAGTCCCCTCGTCCTTTGCAGGTAACCGGGCACAAGCCGTATTATCGAAAGCTGGTAAAATACTGCTCATAGGCAAAGAATGAGTGTATCTAGTAAAAAAAAAACGGGAGTAGGTTTTGGTGACTCAAAAAATTCTATCCAATGTTAAAATAATAGACCAATTTGGTCAATGAGTTAGGAAAAAAAGAAAAAAAAAAAAAAAGAATTAGGCAAGCCTGCTGTTTGAATTCAAACAGACCAAACAACGGATCACTGTCTGAACACTGAACTTTTTAACTTGTTCCTTTGTTGGGTTGTTGGCTTGGCGTGGGCCTGAGTGAGGAGAGCTGCTCAGAAATCTCACAGAGGAGTCAACAGCAGAACCGTGGGGCAGATCCTTCAGATAGCTGAGCACGTTGCCTTTGAAAGCGAGGGGTGGGTGCAGGGAGTGCAGACGGGGGTGGGGTGGGGGGAGGGGCAGGAGCATCCTCCCCTTTTAGGGGCTCAGTCCCATCGCTGGTCCTGGCAGGCTGCAGATGTAGGGGAGAAACACCGACTTGTACATTCCGTAGCCATCAACAGGTGATTATCTGAAGTTGGCGATCCCTCAGAGTCAGAGGGTGGGGGAAATTCATTTTAATAAGCTTTCAATGCATTTATTCAGAAAGAGGAGAGAGGTTCACAGCAGAAATGCTCTAATTAAGGCCTCTGCCAATCTGGGTGGGATGAAAGGAAATCTTTAAACCAACAATTGTATATACACACAGTAGTTTGGTTTTTTTTTTACCTTTCCGTTGTGAATTTATAGTAATAAATTTCATATTGTTTTGGTAGACGTTTCCCCAACTAGAACCAATATAAAACCTGGCTCTAATAGGAGAGGGTCAATGTCTCTTTGGCAAAAGCATAAAAATACTGAGTTATTGACTATTTTAAGAGAAATAAGGCTTTGTTTTCTACACATTTTTCATGTATGTACTAAATCCTTACTTGAATTTAATAATATTACAACAAGATGAGGAAAGAACTTTTATAATCTCAAAAGTGCCAACTGAACAGATTCTCAGAGATATTCGTAATTAGCACCTCGCCCCTCAACAACATTAAAACTGTTTGTGTATGTCCCTAAAAATAGATAATTGGCTTTCACCTCTGTTAACACTGTTGATCTGTTTTATTTATTTTTTATTTATTTTTATTTTTTTTTTAAATGTGTATTTATTTTGGGGAGAGAGACAGAGGATGAGCTGAGGAGGCGCAGAGAGAGAAGGAGACACAGAATCTGAAGCAGGCTCCAGGCTCCGAGCTGTCAGCACAGAGTCCAATGCGGGGCTCGAACTCATGGACCGAACTGGGAGATCATGACCTGAGCTGAAGTCGGATGCTTAACTGACTGAGCCACCCAGGCGCCCCACTGTTGATCTGTTTTATAATCAGCACAAAGGAAATTCAGCCTAATGCGTTGGACTGCTGCTAAATGAGTGGCTGTAGTTAATTACGTGTAGGTCTTCCTTTTACAAGGAAGCTTTTTGTGTTTAGTTTTGGCTAAAAATATGTTTTCTGCAAAATTTAAGTCATATGAGAGAGTAATTATAGAAATCTATACACGAGAACATTAAGGAGGCAGACAACGGTGACCTCCTCCCTTCCTTACCTGTCCTTTATTTAGCACCCAGTCACTGAGAAGGGAGGGATTCTTCTGTCCCTTGCCACTGTCCATGTCCCTCTTTTCTATCAATAACACCCAGGTTTACTTTGGCGACTGCTGACCGTGTCATTAACGTGGCTCAGTTAACTCACTTGAGAAATTAGCCAATTTTTACTTTCTGTCTAGAATGATGTCCATGTGGGAGAGTGGGCTACAATGCCCTCAACGTGCCTTGTTTTCTCTGATATGAATCTATTTATAAGGACTTATTCCAGCAGATTATTGGGTATGTTTGCCACGTTGATTTTAGGGAGGGGGCCTATTATGTAGTAGGGATATGGTCTGGAAATGGGTCTGTTTCCCCTGAGGGTGGGAAAGGAGATTCAGTTAGAGATCTGAGAGGGTGGGGTTAAACCAAACCCCTGAGGTGACCCTTTCCTCTTTGCCCTACTCCTCCTCTCAGGCCCTTAGGAGGACATCCAGTTCCTTAAAGCACCAGGGCTCCAAGCCTGGTCTCGTTTGTTGCCCTGCCAGGCTTATGTGTGGACCATGTTAGCACCCCATGACCTGAGGATTCCATGTAACGATTTTATCTATACATGCGGATGTGTAAATATCAACATTTTAAATAGTCTGATAAAGTCTTTGTAGCTACTCAAAACAAAAAACAAAAACAAAACCCATGGGGTTCTCGGCTCAAGACTGGGTTTTGATTGGATTAAGCTTGTCCGTATATGTGGCAAATTTTATTTCCCAGAGATGGCTGTTCTTCTAGATGTTCTGGAACCTTGCCATCCTTCCATCAGGAGGTTGAGTCTATGTACCCTTCTCTTAAACCTGGGAGGGTTTTTGTGTTTCAACCAGTGGAGGGTGAAGTGACACTATGTGATTTCTGAGGCTGGGCCATAGAAAGGGAAAATACATCTTATTTTCCTGGGACATTGATGCGTAAGCAGTCAGAGAGTCCTGAGACCTCCATGATGTGGGGAAGCCCAACTGGCCCAGGAGAGAGGCTCCAAGACCACGTGAAGAGAGACGCATGCCCAGCTAGCTCCCAGAACCCCTGCCCCCTCCTCTCACTGTTCTAGCTTCTAGCACATCCAACTACAAGTCCACCAGCGACCCCAAGCCAGAGTCACCCAGCTGTGCTTACCCAAATTCCTAACCCACTGAAATCATGAGAATAGTGAGATAATTGTTTTAGTTCCCAAAGCTTGGAGTGATTTGTTCTATAACAATAGATAACCAGAACAGTATATCTCATCTCTTTGGTCATAGTGAATGTTGTGGGATGGACATGTGACCCAGTCCAGTGTAATCAGTGTAAGCGTTAAGCTGTTTGCTAGCAATGATGGAACACAGACGTTTTCTTCTCCTCTGGGCTGGCGGGTATGAGCACACAGGCTCGGTCAGATGGTATAGCCCTCTGATGATAGCAAGGAGAGACGGGCCGAGCCTGAGACCAACACACAAAACAAGCAGACAGCTCATAATGACATCACTGGGCCCTGAAGCGAGCTGCACCTGAAGCTGGAAGTCGTCCCTAGAAATCGTCTACAGTAAAACATTTCAGAATTGCAAGTTACTATACAGCTTACAAAATTAGGGGCGTCTGGGTGGCTCAGTCAGTTAAGCATCTGACTCTTGATTTCAGCTCAGGTCACGATCTCATGGATCATGGGATAGAGCCCCACACTGTCAGCACAGAGCCCACTTGAGATTCTCTCTCTTTCCCTCTCTCTCTGCCTCTCCCCCAATCGCTCTTTCTCAAAATAAATAAATAGACTATAAAAAACTCAGATTACAGAATTAGATCCCTGTGTGATACCTGAATCTTTCCTGTTTTATTCCTGATCCATGACCAGTCAGACATTAAAAACCCTCCAATGGCAGAGAGATCACCACCCCTGGAGCCTCCATTCCACCAGCAAGCAACTTTACCTGTTGAGCCGAGTCTCTCTCCGTGTAACAGTTTTCACAAGGCAAACTGGAAAGTCTAAGAATGCTGTTACGTTAGAAGAGTAAGCAAGGCTCAGTAAGTTCCTTTTTCAATTTTTATTTTTCTAGTTTTATTGAGATATAGTCGACATACATCACTGTATAAGCTTCCAGTGTGCAGCATAATGGTTGGCCTTACACATATTGTGAAATGATGATCACAATGAGCTTAGTGAACATCCATCATCTCACATAAGAAGAAAAAGCAAAAAAAAAAAAAAAAAAAAAAAAAAAGGTTTTTCCTTGTGATGAGAACTCTTGGGAGTCACTCTCTCAAAACTTCCATACATCATCACACAACACTATTAGCTGTGGTCATCTTGTTGTAATTGACATCCCTAGTGCTTATTTGTATTACAACTGGTGCTTTGTATCTTTTGACCATCTTTCTCCATTCCCCCTCCCTGCACCCAGCAACATCCTTAGGAAAGGATTTTATGATATTCCAATTGCCAGGATGAAGAGATGTGGGCAGGAAGGATGCTTTAATGGTCAGCTGGATTGCCAACTGGTTGAACACGTTCTACCTAAAGAGCCCTGATTCACTGATCAAACTAAATCAGCATCGGATAGGAGTTGCTGCTAGTCCCTGGTCTCCTTCTCTGGGTTTATGTGAAACCAGGAACTTGGACAGGCCACTGAGATTGTGACAAATAAGCCCACGAGGGGCATGAAGCTGGGAGGGACAGCTCCATACCCCGGATGAGAAATCATTATCCTGAAGTATATTGATATTCTAAACAATCACTGAATCCAAGAAGATACATTTTAAAAGAGATAAACACAACATCCTGCCCTTTAGTCTTCTCAAAATCAGCTGTGTGAATCCAAGAGACATGAAAGTGATTGAGTCCGGAGGTCGCACGTGGAAAGAGAGAGAAGTTTTACTTGTGAAAGAGACTTGATGCAAGACAAAGGGTTGTATACCTATGGAAAAAGTTTGTGTGATCTTAGGTTGCATCAGCAGAAGCACAGCTTCCAAAATCAGGCTGGTAATCCTCTTTCCTATGCTTGTCAGACTTGTCCTAGAATACAATGCTCGCTTTGTGGGCGCCATATGTATGACAGACCAGTGCCTATACAGAAACAACCGGGGAATGGTGACAAAGCTTGAAACCTTATCGTAAGAGAGATCGTTAAAGAGTGTGGATGTTTGCCTGGAAAAGACTCTATACCTTATCGGGGCTTCTGGAAAGTTGGATAAAATCACCATTTTATTCTAATAGACAAAGCACCCTGAGGACAGAATCACAATCGCCTGCCAAGTGAGAACGTTAAAGCTGAAGCTTTTAAAATGGATCTGCTGGAATCTGTAGTTCTTAATCTGCCTTCGTCGACAGGGTTGGGAAGTCTCTTGAACTGCTGAAGGAAAAGCCGGAACCATTCCCCAGAAAAATCACAGCAACTTAATAATTTGCAAAATGTTCAGGTTTCTGGATCCATCTGAGGTCTGCACATCCCGTGCTGAGAATCCCTGATGGGAATAATGGGAGGCCAAATGGATTAATCTTGCACGTGTCATATTGTCGGAAAGCACACAGCCCTCATTATATGAGGTCATCGTATCGCATTCCTTGGAATATCTATTCATTTCCTTCTGCCTGTTTTCTCTGTTCCACAGAAGCAAATGTCATAAAGCCATTGCCTGAAATTGCTAAGAGTGAAGGGGGCTTCTTCGGTGGTTTTTATTTCACTTTCTCACCTTCAGAGAGCCAAAGGCCATTTAAATCCTTTTCTCTTCCCGTCAATTCCCCTTCATCTATTCCTTAATGCTTTTTTCACTTCCTTCTAGTTTCTCCTCTCTCACTTCTCCTTCCTCAATAAGAAAAAAAAAAAAAAAAAAAATAAGGGTGGTAAAGGTGTTCACGGATGAGGGGAATGATCAGAGGAAGCTGGGACCAGCCAGGGGCTCTTTATGTTTCTTCCCTGACCTTTGACCCCTCCTGCCCCTGTCCACCTGCCCTCTGCCCTCCTCTAGTCCCCACCTTTTCCTCTAGAATTCCAAAGATCCCGAGACGCTCAAATAGAAGCTTCCGTGCAATAGCCGCACGACTTCATCACACAAGAGATTTGGGGGTGTTGAGATGGTGATTACTCATGTTGGTCCTTCTATGATAAAATTCTGAGCTTTGATAAAATACGCCATGATTTCAACGAAGATTATCCACTACCTTGAATTGTAACTCAGTTTAATTAATTGTCTGCCTTGACTGTATACAAACTGACTAAAGATTTCTGAGAGGCCAAGACCTCATGCTACATGACTTCTGTGCCTTTCACAGGAAATTGTAACACAGCTGATTTTACGGTCTCTGCTTTGTGTAAACTGTTGGCATGTGCTTCTCATATAATAAGTGATAATACCAGGCACAGATGCAAAGGAAATGAAACCAGGGGCACAAAGAAATAGTTGTACCATCACGTTCAGTGGAACATTATTCACAATAAGACTTGGAAATGACCTAAGTGTCTGTCGACAGATGAGTGAATGAAGAAGTATACTGTGTGTGTGTATAGATATAGATATGGATATAGATATAAATATAGACAATGGAAGAGTATTAAGCCACCAAAAAGAAGAAAATCATGCCACTTGTGACAACATGGATGCCATGCTGTATGACATCACTTTT